AAGGAGATAAGCCTTTATGGCTTCTTATTTGTCCCCCGGAGTGAGGGATAGGCCTATATTTTTGATTGATCTCTTATAGTGAGAGATAGATTTATGTGGCTTGTGTGTTAGCCCCATAGTCAGGGTTATGATGATTGAAATTATATTTTTATGGATATATTTATATTTCTTGAGAATTAATAACTATCTCACTTGACACCTCACGAGCACGTGTTAGTATATATAATAAGTTGTAAAGTTGGTTATTGAGGCGTTTGTCTCACCCTGTGGTTTCTACTATCTTTAGGTGATAGTTTAGGTAGTGGTCCATTAGGAAAGGCTCCAGAGACATAGTGTGCTGTTATAACTTGTATAGTCTCTCGACTTTTGTTCTATGTGCTGATTTGTTATATATTGCCACTTAGGACTCATCTATTCTAATGTTGTAAATTAATACTTTTCATTATTACTATATCATATGAGAGGATTGTGAGAAGGCCAGATACTACTAAAACTCTGCATGTGACACTCTTATAAAGTGTTAACTTTTGACTAATGGACTTCATAGCTTATATTAAAACGATTTATCAATTCGTATGTTTGAAAGTATGAGTTTACTTTGAGCAAATGATTAAATGATACTCCTCCGGTCCTTATTATAAGACCCAATTTGACTTTTTATTTGGTCCTAATTATAAGACCCAATTCATTTTGTCTCTTATATTTATGCATTTTTTTCCAAGATAATCCTTCTAATAATGATAGTTTTAGCCAATATACTTAATTAGCAAGGATATTTTAGAAATGACAACGCTTATTTATTATAAATAACCAACTTAACTTATTTCCTTAATCTCCTCAAATAAGTCAATTGGGTCTTATAATTAGGACCGGAGGAGTATTTCTAGACTTTGGAAATCTAAGGCCCAAGTTAACGAGCAATGTTACTCGTAATATAAGTTTATTTCTTTTAACCATGATAGTGATTTTAAAACTTTAAGATTTCTTCTTTACTATCATGGTTAATCTTTCGAATAAATTGTTATCTAAATGGCTTTGAAGGACAAAATTCAAAATTCAAAATTTTTTTATCATTTTTAATTAATTCACATGTTATCTCACCTCATTTATTAGAAAAAATGCCTTATTAATCTCAAATTTAAACATGCCATTTCACAATCAAGACTTATTATTATCAGATAAATTGTTATCACGAGCTGGAGTTAGAGCAAAAGAATTAACTTGTATTTTTTTGCATTATAATATTAAGAAATCATTGGTAGCCCAATGATCACCTATCTTTTTGGTTGGTCTAAATGATCATGGAGATGTAGGATTAAATCCAACGCCCACCACTATCCTCAAATAACTTCCCATGTCAAGAAAAAGGTTGTTGCCAAAAACAAAACACTACTAGCAACCACCACATCGGTAGTCGATGATGGCTCGTCACCTACAGGGGTTGTCAGCTGTGGCTTCCAACAACAGGTTGAAGTTTTTTTTTAAAAAAATAAAGATTATTTTTGTTATTTCACTTGAATTTTAAAATTCTAATTTGATTTAAATTCTTAGTTTCTTGAATTGGGAATTTATTTTAGTCTTCTTTTTTTTTGTCATTTTCCCTATATAGTATATATTATGCATTACGGATATGGATAATAGATTAGTAAATCTTCTCCCCATAATACTTTCAAGTTGAATAAATTAATAAAACTAAATAAATTATTAAATTCTAGCATATATAGTATTAAATTATACATTGATTTATAAATTTAATAAATTGTTTTGGAGAAATGATAAATATGAAAAAAATGGACTGAGACATTATACACCAAGAAGAACTTCCAAAACAATTCCTACATTTAGAACCGCACAGCGTTTTGTGTGACAAAAATGAAAAGGAGACGATAGTTTTGCCAAAAAGAAAAGAGAATAAGAGGAAGTAATGATCATATAACTAAAATAAGTCTAGTCATAAGAAATGGGAAACTGGCGGGACGATTAGGTTCAAAGGCAAGATAGACTTTTAAGTTTTAAAACAATATTTTTCATATGTACAGTGTCATTCTAAATTTTTGTTAGTGTATCCTCTTGTTGAAGAGTTTAAGGCAATGCCAAACACGGAATATGAGTACTTTTTCTAACAGAAATTTGAACTTTGGTTTGTTATGTTATAGGAGACCAGTTCCTTCCACGAAACCTAACTTTTATTAGTAATATTATTACCTTCATTTAAAATAAGGTTAAGTTGCATTTAATATTTCAAAATATTTTTTTAAAATGTACCCAATCTCTTAAAGTTATTTTTTTTGGATACTTTTGTTACAGTATATCCACCGGGACGGTCTCCCAAAGACTAATCAGTCGGGTACTACAGAGGCACAAGAAGGGGGCGACCCTCCCATGCACGTTTGCTCTATTCCCATCCTTTAGCGGGATCAAACCCAGGAGCGATGGTTAAGAGACACAGATCCTCATCCATCTGTGCCAGCGTGCGTTGGTAATATCTTAAAGTTATTTGTGATGCATTTTCATCTCTAAAATATTCAGAATGGTTTCACTATTAAATTGCCGAGTAAGTTCTATCTTAACCAAAATAATCCTACGTGACATGACACACTGAAGTGTTAATCCCTTTCTTCTTCTTCTGACCGAAAATTAGTAACAAATATTCATTAGTAATCATTTTTAAAAGCGCGTATGTATAACAAATATTCATTATTCTTTGCATACATTTAAATCAAATTAGAAATTAAAAACATAAAATTTCCCATGATAATTATAAAGCCAATATATTGCATAAGAAATAATTATAAAATCAATATATTACATAAGAAATATTAAAAAATTTATATCAGCAAAATCATGAAAATTTTTTAAAAAATTACGTGGAGTCAAGTTAGGCTAGTATGGGCTAGACTCCAGTCTGATTCCCCGCTTGAAATTTGCCCCAACCAATCCAAATGACTCAAATAGGACCAAGCTGACGAGGTTTTCATGCCACGTAGAACCCTAATGTCAGATATAGAACCATTCATTGCTTCTAATTTTCTCTCATTTTCCCATGTTCCTTCTTTATCTTTTCATGTAAACCAAACATATAATATAAAAGTTCTTGTATTTAGTTGAAAAGAATACAATATGCTACCTTAATATTCGTTTGATTTTGATTTTTATTTTGATCATAAATATAAGACCTCAATCTGTTTTATTTATCATATTTATATATTTTTTCTCAAGATAGTATTTATAATAATGGTAGTTCTAGTCAATATATTTAATTAGCAATGATATTTTAGGACTTATAACACCTATTTATTACAAATAACTAATTTAACTAGTTTTTTTTAATCTACTCATACTAGTCAACTGACTTTTATATTAAGGACAAGAAGTAGTATTAAAAAGAAGATATTATCGGCCAATAATATGTAAAAAATTATATATTTCTCCCGCCCTTAATATAGGACCTAATTTTAGGTTAATTTTGGTATTAAATATAATACTTATTTCTTGTATTTATCAATTTTTTTAAATTATCCTGATGGATACTCTCTCAATCATAATCAAATAGAAGAAGGAGAGTCGATATTAAGAAAGATACTTATGGTGTTTTAAAAAAAACATATTATATTTCTTATAATTAACTAATTTATCTAACTTTTTTAATATAATCAAATTAGTTAAATATGTCTTATATTAAGAATCGGAAGTGTAGATAATATTTGGTGAAACTTGTTAGTTTTTGCCCTTTCCCGCGAGTCATGGGAACACAGTCAGCCACCAACCGTTCCTCCGCCACAGACTAGGTCCGTGTAGCCATTCAGAAGAGACTAAATACGATTCACACAAAACAGATTAATTTGTGAAATATCAGAGAAATATCTACGCGCATGTTCCAATTAACCGACAAAACGTCATGAGCAGTTCTTCCAAGCGGTGATTTAATGTGCATGTGCTTAAATTGGATTGAAGAAACATGCTACTCCTCTAATAAATGAGTCATATATTTAAGATAGAATAGACTATATATTCTATCCAATAGAAACTGGATAATTGAATTATAAAAACTAACAAAATTAGTAGAGTTAATAATTAAGAATAAATCTGTGATGATTTTTTTTTTCATTTGTGTTAAAAATTACTCTGCATTATTAATGGGTTGTATGATGATACATATCACCTGAGACTCATGTCCTCTGCCTTGGTTATTAACGAATTGAATACATTAATTTTAAAATGTTACAGCAATTGCAATATTTTAGGTTGCTTGGACAATGCATATTTATATATTAATGAAATAGAAAAAGAGAAAGAGAGAATTCACAAAAAAAAAAAAAACAAGAAGAGAAAAGAGAAAAATTATTTATCTCTCTGTTTTTTTTTGGCTAGGCATATATATCCTTTATTGAATGTAATCCTATCAGAATCACTGTTAAGTACTAAATGTAAAAATTTCTTATAGTAAAAATTTAAATATTGATTTATCATGTTATTAAGAATTAACTCATTTTGTTATATTTAATTTTCATTGGTTCCTCTTCTCCTTTTTTGTTAATCATAGTGATAAAGTTTCACGCTAGAATTTAATAAATAATTCCTTACATCAATTCTCTCTGGAGTATGACAACAAAAATGTCAAAGTGAATGACATGATTTAATGTTTATTATGTTTTTGTCAATATTGTCCATTCTTTTTTTAAATTAATAATGCGACATTATTTTTTTTATTTTTACTTGGGGTTCAGATTTTAAAATTAATAATTAATAAATTTTTCTAAGATCAATTTTTTTTTGGGTACACCTAAGATCAATTAGTTTAGTTAAGTTGTTGGAATTCTACAACTGTTGGCAAAACAAACAAACAAGGCCTCCATGATTGGCGCATTTTTAGCCCAAAATAATATGGGCTCATATTAACGGCTAGTTTTTGGCCCGTTATTATTCTCAGCTGAACAAAAAAGTAAATACGTATGCATAAAAGGCCGAACAAAGACTTAAACCCCCCTTCTCCCCTAACAAGCATCCCTGCTTCCTCTCCCTCTTCCTCTTCACCGTCGTTGCCCCTTTTTCTGTCTCCCATATTCTCAAATTCAATCAGCAGGAAGCGACGGCATATTGTCTCCTTATATTTCCTTCTAGTAGAGTCTTGCCATAGCATTCAAGATGGTGGTTAAACCCGGTGTGGTTCCGGACTATGGGCATCTCCGAGAGCTCTTCAGGCCCCATATAGAGTCTTTCGATTACATGGTGGAAGCTGGATTGGATACTATGTTCCAATATATCAAATCTGTAGAAGTTCGCGACCCCTTTACAAAGAAGAAGCTGAGGAATATCCTTTCTTTAAATTGCTTTTCAATTTCAAGGTCGTTAATTTATTGAACTTACATGTTGCAAAATATGTTTTTTTCCCCCCCTTGTTTGTTGCATTTTCTGTTCCATCTATAGTTTCTGCATTGCTCGTTGTATTATAAATTTGATATTTGTACATATTTTCTCCGTGATGCAATTGGTTATTTTTTCTCTCCTTAACTTGTGTATCTTACTTTGGGTGAGTAATCCGGACGTATACCCTCCTCAAAAGGAGCGGTCGTCGAGCACAATGGCTTATGCTCTGCTTCCATTTGAGGTGAGTTTCACAATTTTGTGTTGGCTCACAATAGTTTTTGTTCTCTTTTTCTTCGTTGATTGTTTTACTTGGTGTCATTTGTTCAGTGTAGGCAGGCAAAAATTTCTTATACAGGAAAATTCAGTGCCGATGTATGTTTCCAATACGATGGTGGGGCTATCATAAGAGAGAAATTTAATTTTGGGTCGCTTCCCATAATGCTACAGGTTGCTTACGACCTTGTGACTTTTAACTGGTTTCAGAGACGTTAACTGTATCTCTACATGTTGTCTTCCGGCTCTTCCCTTTTGTTTTGCGTGACTATGTTACTTTTCCTAAGTGAAAGTATTTGCAGGTTTCTGGAAATATTAATGATGTGGCAATACTTAGTTGATTAGTTTTGATGCTTTCAAATGATTTCTTTCCTTTTTAAATTTTGTTGTATTTTGCTACCCATGCATCCATATCATAACAGCAAGTTTTATTCCACAAGTGTCGATGGTTACATGGTCTGTTAACAGCTAATTTTTCAGATATATTGTTTATTATGAAAACCCTTTCATGGTTTATGGACAACTAACTTTTTCATATATGTATATATATCATTCATCATGGTATCCCATTTGATAAGTTACTTAAAGTGTCTTTCTTGGTCTCCTGCTACATCTTTTCGTAGGGCTAAAAGCATGTACTCAGTTCTCTTCATCAGTGCTTGTAGCGGTTTTCTTTGCACATGTCCAAAGCCCCTTAGTCAAATTTCTTGCACTTTCTCCTTGATAGATGCGATATCAAACTTTCTACATATACAATTATTATGGATGTTGTTATTTCTTGTATGTTTTGTTCCATGTCAAGCTTATCTGTGTTTTGTTTTATTCTGACTAAAACTGCCAAAAAATAAAATTACCCTAATGTTCTTACTATGGCTTGGTTTTTATGATGATGTTTGCATCTAATGGTTGCACTTGTGTCAATTTTTATGACTTCTAGTTCAGGCGATATAAGAACAATGACTGAAATCTGTCTGCTAATTGCCTAACTTTGTAAGTATGATGCGTAGTATTATCTTCTTTCACTTGCAATTGATGAGAGTTGCATGTTGTGCAGTCAAAACTATGCCACTTGAGAGATGCTAATCCCCAAAAACTTGTGTCCTACAGGGAAGAGGCATCAGAAATGGGGGGGTAGGTGGTTCAATGTCTTTATCATATTGCTAAATTATGCATGATGTTGATTTATCTTGATGCTGCAATGCGTTCTACGGAGTGATTTTATCCTTATTCTGAGTTTCTGCTGGTATTTCAAATGTCTTTTAATACTCACAAGCATGCATGTACATTGTGCCGATTGGGTGCCTCAACAAGCATCATATCATCTGCTTGGGGAGCTGTAGGTGAAGTCATGGAACCAAAATATACATTGTGCCCATGTGGTGCCTCAACGTTTGCTTGGGGGGCTGTAGGTGAAGTCGTGGATAAAAAATTATTCACCATAATTGGATTCTTAATTAGCCCCATCATTCATCTTGTTAATTGGTCTTTTCTTTATTGTCTTGATTCCCTGGTGTTGGGGCTTGCTTTTTCTTGATCATGAAAATTCGCTTCTGACACTTTTCCTCTCTTATTCATCTTTTTGATGATGCCTTTTGCTCCTTCACGTGCATACACAAAATCTCATGCTAAATAGAAATATAAACAATATAGATAGAACCCTGCAAATACATATCTCCAAATGGTTTACATATTGATGTAGTTGGTGTCATACCGTAATATTTTTGTGGTTGTGGACACTACTGCAATTGCGAATCCTGATTCTCTTGTTCTGTTGCTGTTTGTATGTGATTTCAATGCCACAATAATTAGTTTGATTGTCTGGGATGACATCAGCTTTATCTTTTACGTTTTCTTTTCAGTTACTTCATTTTGAATGGCATTGAGAGAGTTGCTCGATTATTAATTTTGCCAAAGAGGAATTACGTAAGAAGTTCTATCTTTCAGCTTTCTTCTTTCCTTTTCATTTTTTTTTTTTTGCATTGATTAACAGTAATCAAGCTGGATCAAGTGTGTTTCTTTCCTTTTAAAGTTATTATGTTTTCAGATTATATTCATGGTTTCTCTTTGGTACAAAATGCATGGTCCTAGGGATTTAATATATCTGATGTGCAAAGTGGTTGGAGAGTTTTATTTTGTTTATTACTCCTCCGGTCCTTAATATAAGACCTATTTAACTAATTTTATTAGATTAAGGAAGTTAGGTAAGTTAGTTAATTATAAGAAATATAACATGTTTTTCCTAAAACACCATTACGCCACAATCGTCTTTCTTAATATCCTCTCTTCCTCTTCTACTTGATTATGGTTGAGGGAGTATCCAGAAGGGTAATTTAGAAAAAAATTGATAAATATTAAAAATAGGTCTTATATTTAGGACCAAAATCCACTCAACAATTAGGTCTTATATTAAGGATTGGAGGAGTACTTTTTATTTAGGATTTGCGGATTTCTTATAAGACTTCCCCCCTCCCCCCTCATATGAGGATTTGTTATTCTCCAACTTTTTCTTGTTAGCAAGACTTATATGAAAAAAATTGTAATACTTATGGTGGATCATGTTACTGTATGGTAAATTTTGAAGCATAGTTGATCATATTCATATTGTTGCAGTGGTGCTGCTGGTGTGAATAGTAGCTTTTTTTGTGTAATCACAGATTTATCCATTTTCATTATTTTTTTCCTCTCTGGTTCCTATAAATTTCTTTTGTGGTTTCCTGAACTTTCTAGCCAATGAGTATTGTGCGGAATTCATTCAGTGATCGGCGGGAAGGATATTCTGATAAAGCAGTGTCAATAAGGTTTGTTTTAGTCTGAATCAGTACTATCTCAGATTATTACCTTATCACAAATAGTACCTTGCCGTTATAAATTATGTTTGTAAGATGTTTTTGGGACTTTTTTAAAGGCTGTTGGGAAATTCAAGAGTGAATTTTAATGTCTTTGTAAATATTAGGTGAGAGAGTACAAAGAATGGGAGGGAAATTGCAAGAGACCATTGCAATCTCATTGGCTCTAGTTTTATTCATCAACAAAACCGATATAAATGGGTACAATCAGATAAGAGTGTAGGCCTGTTAATACTTATGTCGAAAGAGGTAAAAAGAAGAGGGGATTGGGACAACCTGGCTGAAGTATGATAGAAAATGCAAACTAGGGAAATTGATGTTTTGTTGCTTGGAGGAGAGAGAAGATAGTTGAGTGAAAAATGAATATAGGGCGAGAAGTGTAACAAATTGTGTACTGACTTGTGGTGAGAGACTAGCCTCTCAAAAGGTAGTGTGAGTGTGGATGCGTGCAACTATTTCTTTGATTTTCCCTTTTATCTTGCTAGTCCTCTGTTTGTTTTTCTTTGACATTAGCAGATTTTCTGGTTCTAGCGATTATAGCATCAGCAGAGGGTTTCATTATTTGATATTAAAGCACAATATGATTTTTGATGAGCTTAAAGATGATCTAGATAAAGCTCAATTATATGTGGAACAATGTACTCATAAATTCAGAATAGATCATGTAGGTAATGCTGTTTCCCTCAAAATTCAGCCATAAAAAATCAAATCTCTTGTTAAGAAGTCTAATGGAGGCAAGTCTTAGATACTATGGCCCATATTCTATCATTTGCACGGACTGAACAGGTGGTTTTTAAACTGCCACTTCCTGAAGATGTGACCATTCACCCAGTCTTTTACATTTCTCTACTAAGGGGAAAAAAACACTTTGAATCAGACATTCCACAGCCACTGCCTTCTTTTCTTGCAGCAGATCTGGAGCTTTATGTTCAACCTGCTGCTATTAAGCAAATCAGAACCCTCACTGATGATCAAAAAGTAGTTTTGGTTCAGTGGCAAGGTTTACCTGATTATGATTGCCAGTCCATGTCCGTTAATACTTATTTCCAAAGAGGAACGAAGAAGAGAGAATAGGGCCAAACTGGTCCAAGACTGATTTCCAAAGAGGAATGAAGAAGAGAGAATAGGGCCAAATCCAAGGCTGATAGATGGAGCAGATGAGAGAAATTAACAATTTCTTTTTTAGAGGAGAGAGAATATATTCTGGTGAATAATGAATACAGGGGTGGGTATGGTGGGTGAGAATGGCAGAAAATTTTATACTGGCTTGTGGGGGAGAGACTTAGCCCCCCAAAAGTTTCCTTGAGTGCACGCGGTGCTGTTTCCTGAAATTTCCCTTTTATGTTCTTAGTCATTAGTGTGCTTTTCTTCTAAGATCCAATCCTGGCAGATTTTCTGGTTCAATTGAATTGGATATGATATTAGGTGAAAAGTTTCATTACATATTTAAATATTTTGATTTAATTATTTATGGTTTCTTTTTGGCTCTTATGTTTAAAACGTCCAGGTGCGTAAGAGCAGATCAATCATCAGTGACAGTTAGACTGTACTACCTTCGTAGTGGAAGTGCTAGACTAGGTTTCTGGTAAGAAGCATGATGTTAACTTAGCAGAAAGAAGAGAAATGCTTGTGGTTGGAGAAGTAATAAGACATGTCTCTACATGATATAACATTGCAGGTTAAAAGGAAGGGAGTTTTTGCTTCCTGTGGGCATTGTTTTAAAGGTAAGTCATGATTAGTTATGTTCTATTTAACTGCATCAAGGGTTGGCACATTTGATTTGATTTTTATCTATAGGTGCATTAAATTTCATACATCTTAATTTCTTGCTAGTTTTCCCCACTTTTCATTCTGGTTGGGTAAAGATTCACTTACAATGTATTTAATTGTTACTATCAGGCCCTTGTTGACACCACTGACCATGAAATTTATGTCAATTTGACTTGCTGCTACAATGAGAAGCATGAGAAAGGAAAGGGTGCTGTTGGAACCCAACTTGTTGGTGAAAGGGCAAAAATAATTTTAGATGAAGTTCGAGATTTGTCTCGGTTTACTCGTCTTCAATGTCTTGAATATATTGGTACATAGTGTAGCATTCTTGAACGTCATACCATAGTATAACTTGCATAATCAGTATTAACTTCTTCCCTCTATGATTAGGAGAATACTTCCAACCTCTTATGGATGGTCTTGACCATGACAGTTATCCAACTGTAAGTTGTGTTTGCTCATTATTCACATTACTGTGATGAGGAAAGCAATCATCAGTCCATATAACTTTATGTCTTCCTAATACTTAAATATCCTTGCTAGGTGGCTGAAACTGTTATCAAAGACCATATATTCGTTCATCTGGACAACAATTTTGACAAATTCAACCTACTTATGTCAGTCACCATCTTCTCTCTTATCCTACATGATTAAATTAAATCTCTAGAATTTTATGTGAATATAATATTCTTCTGTGGAAGTTCTATCTTACATTGATTTGTTATGGATCATTTTTTCCCTCTTCCCCAGCTTCATGTTACAGAAACTTTTCTCGCTTATAGATCAGACATCTGTGCCCGACAGCCCTGACTCTTTGCAGAATCAGGAGGTCCTGCTTCCTGGCCATCTGATTACTATTTATCTTAAGGTAGAAAGTTTTTAGACCTTTCTCTTTATAGCTTAAATTTGTACTTTGTTCTTGGATTTGGTCCCTTAAGTTTGAATTGTGCCAAAGTGGTGTTTTAACATCTAACACTGACACACATGATCAGCTTTGTCTTCCAGGTTAATAGATATGTTTGATGACGTTGATTTGGTTAGCTGTATGTTTGTTGATTTGGAAGACAGAAATTACTATTTAAGACATACACATACAGATTAGATGTTAAACGACTTGTTCAGCACAAATTGAACTGGAGAGATCAAAGCATTGAATCATAATCCATCACCTTCATCATTGTCATCTTGCTTCTTTTAAATCTGATCGCTAGTTGTTGGCATCTCTTATCAGCATATGTTAATCTTACTCTTTGCCTATATTATCAGGACTCTGGTGTGTAGATAGATTATTTTAACCTTTACATGGAAATCATTATAAAACCACCACCCTTGTATAGTTTTTGTTCTCAGAGCGCATTCCTTAATTTTTCAAGATTTATAATGTTCCAATACATGATTTTGAGCAAAATCATTGATTTTGAGTAATTATTTTGAGTAATTCACACTCTCTTGTATTATTTCATATGATAGGCTACAATATATAGAGTCCGGATGGGTGAGAGAATCCGGTTACAATCAATCAAAATTGAATTACAATTAATTAGAGATATAGCAGCACATAATCAGGGATTGATCTTGTAGCTAAAATCATGGGTAGGGATTCTGAGAATATCACGGGATTCTAACACTCCCCCTCAAGCTGGAGAGTAGATGTCAACCATTCCCAGCTTGCTTCGAAGCCCTTCAAACTTGACTCTGGCCAAAGGTTTGGTCATGATGTCAGCAATCTGATCAGATGAGCGCACATAGTTCAAGTTGATGATACCCCCTTCTACTTTCTCTTTGATAAAGTGCCGATCAATGTCGACATGTTTTGTTCGGTCATGGTACACCGGATTTTTTTGTCATTTCAATACTAGCTTGGTTGTCACACCAAAGTTTCACTGGGCCTTCATAGGGAATTCTTAGTTCATTCAGGAGTCTGATCACCCACATTCCTTCACATACCCCCAGTGCTACAGCTCTTAGCTCAGCTTCAGCACTGCTTCTTGAGACCACGGTCTGTTTCTTGCTCCGCCAAGTGACAAGGTTTCCCCAAACATAAGTACAATAACCTGTGACAGATCTCCTGTTATCCACAGCTCTCCCATGATCTGCATCAGTGTAGACCTCTGTGTCTTGTATTTCCCCTTTTAAAGAATATTCCTCTTCCAGGATTGAGTTTGAGGTAGGTCAGGATTCTATACACTGCTTCCATGTGTTCTTCCTGAGGTTGGTGCATAAATTGGCTTACCACGCCGACTGCATAGCTGATGTCAGGTCGTGTATGGGTCAAGTAGATTAGTTTTCCCACAAGTCTTCTGTACCTTTCTGCGTCAACTGGTACTCCTTCTAGTTTAACCTCCAGATTGCATGACTCTTCCATAGGTGTTTCACTCGGTTTACCCCCAAGTATCCCTGTTTCGTGGAGTAAATCAAGTGTGTATTTCCGTTGAGACACACTTATACCCTTTTTAGATCTAGCAACCTCCATTCCAAGAAAGTACCTCATTTGTCCTAGGTCCTTTACTTGGAATTCCCTTGCCAGGGCTCTCTTGAGTTGAGTGATAGAAGCTTCATCATCACCAGTTATGACTATATCATCCACATACACAATTAGGATCGTTACCTTTCCAGCACTGTGTTTGATGAAAAGGGTATGGTCTGCTTGACCTTGGTTGTAACCAAATCTTTTAATTGCTTTGGCAAACCTATCGAACCATGCTCGTGGAGACTGTTTCAGGCCATATAATGACTTCTTCAGTTTGCAAACCGAATTGGGTGGAGCTATTACTCCATCTGGGACTTCCATGTATACTTTCTCCTCTAAGTCTCCATTTAGGAAAGCATTCTTTACATCCAGTTGATGAAGAGACCAGTCAAGGTTGGCGGCTAGGGATAGAAGTACCTGGATGGTATTGAACTTTGCCACTGGTGCAAACGTTTCTTGATAATCAATCCCATAAGTTTGCGTGTACCCTTTTGCAACTAATCTCCCTTTGTACTTGTTGATACTTCCGTCAGGATTGAACTTAGGGGTGAAGATCCATCTGCAACCCACTGCTTTCTTCCCCTCAGGGAGTGTGGTAATATCCCATGTGTTACTATCCTCCAAGGCTTTCAACTCTTCGTATGCTGCATATTTCCAATTAGGATCTTTCATGGCCTGTTGAAATGTCTCTGGAACTTTTACCTGTGAGCTATTCACCACAAAGGTTTGCATTCTAGTAGACAAATTGCCGTAAGAGACAAATCTTTGAATAGGATGCTGAGTACATGACCTTACCCCCTTTCTAAGTGCAATAGGCCATCCTAGCTCCTCAGGATCCAACTCCGGATTGGAATCATGTTGCTGCCTTGGAATGGAAGGAACCCTACTACTCCTGTCTTGTTCTCCTGGTTGAGACCCTGAGTGCTCTGTCACCCTTGCATCAATCTCAGCATTTGTTTCCATTGTGTGAGGGTTGTTTGTGGGGCTGTTGGGCTGTTCTGGTCGAGGTGTAGGTTTTGGGTTTTCTGGTTCAGGTTCAGGTATTTCCTCTTGTGGTATGGAGGGTTCAGGAGGGTTAAGATGTGAGTTGGTTGTGGGTTCAGGTGTAATTAGCCATTCTATTCGATCACTCTCCCCCTGAATGGGTAATTTGGGATAATATGCATCATCCTCATAAAAGACGGTGTCTTTGGAGATTATGAGTTTTCTAGTAGAGGGACAATAACACCTATAACCTTTTTGGGTGGAGGAGTACCCAAGGAAAATGCATTTTTCTGCTCTAGCACCCAGTTTGCCCCCATCATGTTTATGGACAAAGACAACACACCCAAAGACCTTTTGTGGGATGGTATTGATGATAGGTGAGGTTGGGTAGGTCTCAAGAAGTTTTTTGGATAGGGGTACTGAAATTGAGAATTTTGGAGGCCATTCGATTGATAAGATAGGCTGCGGTTAGCACAGCGTCTCCCCAAAACAGGCTGGGAACATTTTTTTCCATCATAATGGCTCGGGTTACTTCTAAGAGATGTCTATTCTTTCGCTCGGCAATTCCATTTTGTTGAGGAGTATAGACACATGAGGTTTGGTGGTGGATTCCCTGTTGTTCAAGAAATTCTCTAAAGGCTCCACTCATATACTCTTTAGCATTGTCACTTCGCAGAACTTTGATGGGAGTTTGAAATTGGGTTCTCACAAAGGTGTGAAAGTTTTTGAAGATTTGTAAGGCTTCGGATTTCTCTTTCATGAGGTACACCCATGTAACCCGGGTATGATCATCAATGAATGTAATAAACCACGCTGTGCCTGTTCGGGTTTTAGTTTTGGCTGGTCCCCAAATGTCTGTATGGATCATCGTAAACGGTGTAGTGGGTTTGTAAATATGTTTGGGATAAGACGCACGAGTTTGTTTGGCAATTTGACAAGTTTCACATTGGAAAGGTGAAGAATTTTTATTGAATAAAGTTGGAAACACATGCTTCATATAATTAAAACTGGGGTGGCCTAATCTTTGATGCCACAACATTACATTTTTATTCTGAGAATTGGAGCTAACCATAGCTTTCCTTGCTTCTTTAGTCTTCATATCCTTTCCTTCAAAGTAGTAGAGTCCATCCCATTCTTTAGCAGTCAAAATCTTCCTCCCCGAGGTCGAATCCTGAAAAACACATTTAACATCATCAAAAATCACCCGACATACTTGTCCTTTAGTCAATTTGCTCACAGATATAAGATTGCAAGTGAGAGCAGGAACAAACAAAACATTATGAATTTCCAGATCATCAGAAAGAGCCACAGTGCCAACACCCTCAACTCTAGTATATAGGCCAGTTGCTACTTTTACTCTAAGATTCTCATGGGAGTATTTGAGAGTTTTGAAGAGGGACTTGTTACCAGTCATGTGGTCTGTCGCACCTGAGTCAACAATCCATGTCTCATCACTAGTTACCATTGCATTAAGGGCAATAATAGAATTACCTGACTGGATCAAGTTTACGTGGGGAACTGATTTTGATTTGTTTTGCTTTTCAAGCATCTTACGAAGTATTTGAAGTTCTTCTCTGGTCAAGTGGTCTCCATCATCACTTCTTTCCTCGGAGGAGGTGTGGTGGCTTTTTCCATCTTGTCGTTGTTTCTGTCTCCCTGGGTTTGGTTTTCCATGCAGTTTCCAGCATTCATCTCTGGTGTGGCCCTTCTTGTTACAGTGATTGCACCACTTGTTCCCTTTTCTTTCAGAGCTCTCTGATGTTTGGGAACTTCTTGTAACTAATGCGGAGCCATCTATTGGAGGAGGTTGGTTACCTTGAGTGAGGTGTCTTCGGCTTTCTTCAAACTTAACCATACTGAAGACTTCAAACAAGGATGGAAGAGGTTTTAGACCCATAATTCTGCCTCTTACTTCTTCAAACACATCATTCAGGCCCAATAGGAAGTCATAAGTTCGACCTTTTTCAACTAGTTGTCTGTAGTAATTGGCATCATCAATATTCTTCCACGGATGTACTTCAAAGAGGTCCAATTGCTGCCATATCTTTATCAGGGTGCTGTAGTATTGTGTTATAGTCAAGTTTCCTTGCTTTAGATCCTTGAGTTGCCTCCTCAGATCTAACAAGGCAGCAATGTTGTCTAATGTAGAGTAAGTGCGTCTAGCAGCATCCCAGATCTCCTTGGCTGTGCTTGCAAGGAGGTATCCCTCACTAATTTCGAGAGTCATTGAGTTGCATAGCCAAGACATCACCTGATTATTTTCAGCGAACCAGGTGTCAAAACTAGGATCATTATGTGCCGGTTGTTTTGCTTCTCCATTGATATACTTCTCCTTACGCTTCCCACGAAGATACATTAATACACTTTGAGACCATTGGAGATAGTTGCTGCCATTCAGTTTGTGAGCCACCACCATAGCTTGAGGTTCAGTGGCTGTTGTCAAGTCTGACACTGAATCAAATGTTCTAGAGGGGGCCATTGGTGAAGGAGAGTTACCTTGAGTATTTGAGGAGGTGCCGGACATAAGACCCATTGGAACGGTACCTTTGGTGACTGGGGTGTTGCGAACAGACCCAAAAAGAGGTGGAAAATCTGATGGGTTCATCTTCTGGGCTGAAAAAGATCCTGCGGCGGCGCTGGCGGCGGCGCGTGGACTTCACGCGCGGAGGCTGTTTGACGCCGGCTTCTGGGGATGCGCCGATCGGTGGTTTCCGGTGAGAACTGGAGGGGTGGTGTCGGTCACATCCTGCTCCTGGCTTCAGATCTGAGGACGCCTCACTCTCTCTCTCTCTCCGTTTTCCGGCGGCGTTTCAGGACGGGATTTTGGGTTCAGGCCGAACCCACTGCTCTGATACCATGAGTAATTATTTTGAGTAATTCACACTCTCTTGTATTATTTCATATGATAGGCTACAATATATAGAGTCCGGATGGGTGAGAGAATCCGGTTACAATCAATCAAAATTGAATTACAATTAATTAGAGATATAGCAGCACATAATCAGGGATTGATCTTGTAGCTAAAATCATGGGTAGGGATTCTGAGAATATCACGGGATTCTAACAGATTTCTTATATGGATGCTTAAAATATAGTTAAATCTAAATATCTGCTGAGGTTTGAGCAATTGGCAATTTTAACATACTATAAGTGGGAGGTTAAAAATGGTCAGATAGTTAAGAGTAATAGTATGTTTCAAAGCTTGTTTGGTATGACATTAGGAGGCTTTAGAAGTTAGGTGAGACTAAAAAAAAAGGTTAGTTGGATGAAAAATTAATGTTTGGCAGTCACTTGTGTTCAAAAGTTACTTTAAAGTTGAAATAACTTTTTCTGACTCTTTGCTTTCCCCCCCTAATGTCTGAACCTCTTGAAACTGATTCTTCAATATATCATCCAAATTAGTGTATGTCAAATTGGCTTTTTTATCCGAACATAAATCACATTACACTCATTAACTTTTATGCCAATTTCTGCCAACGTTAATGCAAACATGCCCTCAGCCACTTGAGGCTGACTCAAGTAGTAAGGGTGAGTTGGGGTGTGGAATTTCAACCCCTCCCAATGTAACTGTTGCAACTCAAAAGGGAATGATAAAAAAAAAATACTTAATGAACTGGGATTAGTATTCAAGAGAACACCTCTGTTATGATAAGAGGAGTTTTACAATGCCAAAATGAGACCTCAGACCAGTCACAAACCTCTGGCTTTTGAGCAGCCAGTGCACTCCCTCACACTCTCAAAGTATCAAATAAGCCATAGTCAAAAGACCTAGATTGCACTGTACAGTTCCCAAAATAGTCTAAAATAACAGCTAACAGCAACTCTAAACTTCCTTCAAAACGGTAATAACTCCAACAAAAGACATCTTACTACCTTCATGTGTTTCTTTAGGCTTCCTTTTTAATGTGTGAGAAGCAAAAGTAAACATATCAGTAACCAATAAAATGAAAGGGAAAAAAAATCTAATTATTAGGATGTCAGGATTCGAGTCCTTTATGGCTGTGAACATGAATCATTATGGGTAACCATCATACTTCATTTTGAGCATTTACTGTTTTACAAGAAATTTATGATTATGATTGCAAACTTAATTTGTATTATAATTTTTGTTGGACATATTAGCTAAACATAATCCCTGCTTATCCTTTTGAGTTTTAAAATCTTAAGCTTGTGGGATGAAATGGCACTTGAAATACATATTACAATAGCTAGAATTGATTTATCTCAATTGCAAAATTCATTTTTTTTGGGTGAAATGTAAAACTCAATTTTATAGTAGTGGACATTAAAATTACAATTGCTATAACTGAGTTGTTTCAATATTAAAACAATTTTACAATATTTGAAAATATAGTCTAAATATCTAGTTGGTCTTGACCAATTGGCACATAGACTCCAAAATGGGGAGCTTAAAAATTGTCAAATGTGGTTAAATAAGAGTTATAGTATGTTGGTGATCAGAATTTCAGGATTGTCACACCTTAGTTGTCGGAGCATGAATCATAAGGTCTTGTTACCAACTTCCCATCCTTCATTTTGAGCAGAAGTTTATGCCTTTAAATTTGTATGATCATTTTTGTTGGACATTAATAGAACAGGATCTAGGATTGTCTCGTGTTCTACAGTCTTGAGCCTGTGGGATTCAATTGTACTTGTGACAATTATTGCAATAGCAAAATATGTGTTATCTCAAATTTTTATATAAATTTTTGTTTTCTTAATTTTAGCACCTCACTCTCGTGGTGCTTTTCTAGACTCTTTTTCCCTTAGGGAGCCAGGATTTTAATGTTTTTCCTGCTTATTAGGCTTGTGGATGTACTGCTGTCTCCTTAAATTCTGATTACACTTTGTTAAGTATTTCTGGGGGTCTTATTTATAATTTCTTAATCAACTTTTGGATACTAGGAAAAAATAGAAGAATGGCTTCAAAAGGGCAAGAAATTTCTTGAGGATGAGCTCCGGGACAAAAATGACAAGTTTGATTTCTGCAGCTGTATGTAGATATTTTTAAAGCACTTTTGATATGTCTTGAGTTCTAGTTATGTTTCTTTGTGCTGAGAAGCTTTCTCCTGTCACTTTTTCCCATTTAAATTTATCGACATCAGAATAACAATTTTAGATGCATAACTGTTCGTTGGTGAATGAAGATCTTGGTCCACAAGGCCCATCATTTGCAGCAAACAATTTTTGTTTGTTCTCAGATTGTTTTCCCCCATTACATTGGATTTGACCATTTGATGTTATCAGGGTTTGATTATCTTATATTTTCCCTTAATTTGATCCTTTTTTTTTTGTGTGGTTAGACTTAGGAAGACTATTGCTAGGCTTTCTTCTATATTTTGATATACCCAGACTGAATTTTTGAACAAGAGAAACACCAGTTTCTGGATGGATTTAAGTTTTTGTTTTCCACTCTTTATCATTCATTTTTTTGCCAACTTATTCATTTTGGTATGAACATTAGGATTTAGATTTGAGAATTAAGTTGATGATGGTTATTGCTTACTAATTTTATGTTTATATCTATGCGCGTGTGTGTCTCCTTGGTGAGTGCAGTAGCTCATGTTAAGAAGGTTATGGAAAAAAATTCAGCAAGATCAGTAAGTACAGCTGTTGAAACTATGTTGAGAAGTGGAAGACTGGCCACTCAAACGGGCCTAGATCTGCAGCAGGTATAACTTGCTACTGATCAATTAACTTTTGTCCTGGCAGTTATAATGCTCCATCCTTCAATTAGTGTTTTTCTAATTTTAATAAATAATAATAGGTTTATCTTATGCATAAGAATAGTGCGTAAGTATTTTTAATAAAGAAAGGAATATTGTTATCGAGAACAAGACTACAAGCTTGGAAGATAGGACAGCCCCTTGAAGAGAAGAAACCAAAAGATGGTTATTATATATGACCAAAAAACTCCAAATAAACTTGAATTTAAAAGCTAAGGGAAGCAGGGATAAGGACCCTTCCAGTAAATAACTTGTAGTTTGCTGATGCTTTGTTAATAATTTATGCAGTCTTCTCCAACTAGATGCTCCAAGCCAAAAAAAAAAACTCCCCAGAACTTTGCCATTTTTAATATGCCCCTATCATTTTACTTTATACCAGCCAGTAAAAGAGAGAGCACCAAATTCTCCTGCCCATCACTGACCAAAGAAGCCAAATAATTCATTTCAAAGAAATGTCTGAGATAATATACGAAAGAAATATAAAAAGACCATATCTGAGATAATATACTAAAAATTAGGAAAAAAATCATAAATTATGAATATGCGATGAATTAAAAAATTACATGCTAGAATTCACTATGATACCAAACTCTTGATGGGATATGCAAGTGTATCTGTCATTAAATCATTACTTCCCAAGGACCTTCGGTGTTTGTGTGGGGAATATCTTTAAATAAAGAGTGAAACAAGGAGAAGGTTGGGTGGAGTTATTGGTCTTGGAGAATGAGTTTTTCTGTAATGAATATGGTTACTTATCAAATCTATTACTTCTGCTCCTGCTAGTCATTTTATAACGAATTGATTATTATTTGATGCTGTACTAAGTTGAATGTGGTGTAGTTTTTATTCACAATTAATTATGACAAGAATAATCAAATAATTTAGGACATTGTATGCATCTCTTCTTTTAGTTTCCTGTATATACTTGCTTGATGCCCTTATACATCTTTTATTGATTATATTTTTGCTTACTCAGAAAACAGGTTATTCAGTTCAGGCTGAAAGGTTAAACTTCTTACGTTTTCTTTCACATTTTCGTGCTGTTCATCGGGGGGCCTCCTTTGCTGGTCTTCGGACGACGACTGTACGAAAATTGCTGCCTGAGTTAGTATAAGCTCTTATATCTATCTTGAAAACTGTATGGTCTTCCTGTGATATTTGTGTTTCTTATGCGTGGTTGTATCTTTTCATTAGCTCTTGGGGTTTTCTTTGTCCTGTGCACACGCCTGATGGGGAGCCCTGTGGACTACTGAATCACATGACTAGCACCTGTTGTAAGTTACTGCCTCCTTTGCCTTCTTTCAAAAGGAACTTATCCATTGTTGAGTTCAAATATATTGCGTGATCGGTGGCATTTCAAAGTGGCCTTAAGAGCAGTTGAACAAGCCAGATCACGTTGTTGGGGTGATTGATTTTCCTGTCTCTTTGTTTCTATCATCTTTGTCTTTTCATTTTTGTTAAAGAGGATTCTTAATCCTCCAAAATCATGTCTTCTGAAATGAATTATTCTGTATTTTATTTTATTTTAACCAGGAAACAAGAAAGGATTCCTTGTTCGTTAATTGTTCGTTGTCTAATTTATGTGACAAATGCATTTCTTCAGTTTTTTCCTTTCTCTATTTCAGGTGTGACATCATTTTTTGATTCTCAAGGGCAGATTAAAGATTATTTTAAAATAAAAATGTCAATCATCAAAATTTTAGTTGAGGTTGGAATGAAGCCATCACTGCCAAAGCTAGTCCTTGCTGGTCCACCTGAAGTTCTTAATGTTTTTCTAGATGGCTGTATTGTTGGTTCTGTACCCTCTGGTCAAGTTGAAAAAGTTGTGGATTATTTACGAAGATTGAAAGTATCATCTGCAGTGGTGGTCTGCTTTTCTGCTCCTTCAGTTCCTTTCCCTTCATTTATTTTATATCTTTTGCTTGATATTAACTTTAGCATTTTGTAGATTCCTAATGATCTGGAGGTGGGATATGTTCCTTTGAGCATGGGTGGAGCATATCCTGGCCTGTACCTCTTTTCATCTCCTTCAAGATTTGTCCGGCCAGTCAGAAATTTATCTGTTCCTTCTGATGGTAGTGAAAATATTGAACTTATTGGGCCATTTGAACAGGTCAGTGCATGATACATTCTGTTCTCCCGACCCATGGATTGGTTGGATTTCTGCTAAATTCTGAATGAACTTAATCTTCTTTTGTAGATTTTTATGGAGATAAGATGTCCCGATGGTGGGGATGGTGGAAGCAAAAGTGCATTTCCTGCAACTCATGAGGAAATCCATCCAACAGGAATGCTCAGTGTAGTTGCTAGCCTTACTCCATGGTCAGATCATAATCAGAGTCCCCGAAATATGTACCAGTGCCAGGTACATTTTGTCTTGGTGTGCTTAAATCTGCTTGTTCCTCAGATCTCTCAGATCTTCTCATTCTATGCTTGTTTATGTTTTAGATGGCAAAGCAAACAATGGGATTCTCTTGCCAAGCAATTCGAAATCGTGCAGATCAAAAGTTGTACCATCTTCAGGTTTGTTCATGTCATTGTGGTATAGATTGCAAATGCGATTTTCCCCCCAATTAAATGTTGAATTGGCCCTGGTATGTTGGAAGACTGAATGCAGAAATAACTGTAGAAGTTGTTGGTCTTGTTAATCCCTTGCTCTACATCTGAACCAAAAGGTCGTACATGCATGTGTATGTTTTCTCCCACCTTAGTCTGGTAAAAACGTTTATTTTGCTGGCATTTTCAGACTCCCCAGAGTCCTATTGTTCGGACGGGTGCGTATGCAAAATATAGCATTGATGAATATCCTTCAGGCACAAATGCAATTGTTGCAGTTCTGGCATACACAGGGTAGCTACTGCAGTGTCTCTGTAGCAAATGTAGCTTTAATCTACTGTTCTATTTATGAACTTGTTGAAAAAATGCAGATATGATATGGAGGATGCCATGATTCTGAACAAGTCATCGGTGGAGCGTGGAATGTTTCATGGACAAATATATCAGGTTTGATCTTGCTTTACTACCTGACAGAACTGATCGTGCTTCCTTGCTATAGCATTTACTTTCCTTAAGAAGCATGATCATGTTAATATCGGTGCAATGCTTGACCTACTTTGACCATACAGTATCTTGTTATGGAATGTGACTTCCCATCATCCTAACAGGGTCAATAGATCTTAACAGGTTAAAATATATACTCTTCTGGTCCTAAATATAATGTAGTGTAAAATTACACTACAAAATGGGTTTTATATTTAGGACTAGAGGGAGTATAACCTTAATAATAAATTAATATGATGTTCTTCCCATCCACTTGAAAATTGAGATGGGATTATGTACCTCTGCTGTGGTACCACGATGAGATAAGCTACAACTATCAATCATAAAAAAGCTCAAGAGAAGATTTAGAGTGCTGAGCAAAATTCTCAGATGAAGAAGGGTGGACCAGATGCCACACCAGGGAAAAATAACCAATGAACATTCGAACCAATTGAAAAATACCTGGGAAAACAGCAGCCACACCATGGGCCTAATGACAGAGAATACCAGACACTGAGGCATCAGTGCGTGATATAGAAGATAGCCAACAAGAAAAGGAGTGCCAAACTAGAGCAGAAACAGCAACCAAAGGCTGCATCAGGGACCAAACAATTACCAGAAGAGAAAACCAACCAGAAACAAATACTAGGACAAAGGGGAAGAGCTGCAGCTACACCAAGAGCCAGCACCAACTCAACACAGTGCAATACCGTACAGGACAACAAAGGAATGGTGAACCCAAATCTGGAAAACAGAAATCCGTGGCCTGAAAACACTAGGATCAAGCCAGATTCAACAAATTGGTGTTGGAGAAGGTGATTGCCAGCAAAAAGATAATTTCCCCCTCTTCCAATTGCTGGCGTGTGGACGGACAACAAATTTGGAGGAGGCACATGAGACACACCCACTGTCAGACAACGACAAGATTCTGGGGAAATACTGATTTGAACGTGGGGACTCCTTTGGGCAGGTCTTAGGAAATGTCCAGGATCAAAAGCCTTAATTCATGCACACTGTGACAGTGATAGAGGTGAAAGTGAATAATGGTAGTGACAGTAAGCCAGAGTGATACTAGAGACTACTCTCTGATACGATATAGAGAGTGAGAGTGAGAAGATATGAATCTCTTGTATCTATTCATGATCAGGGAAGGGGTATATAACGGTAGAGATGAGTCTTAGTAGTAATGACGGGATAATATCCTAGCATAATAATATCTGATCCTATACTAATGGTACGGACTATGCTATTTTCCTTAATGAGAGAATATTCTAATAATACCATTACTAGAGAGAAAGAGGGAGGGTAGAAAGAGGGAGGAGTTAGAAGAGAGAAACACGGAGAGAACTGAAAAGTGCAAAACTGAATTACTCACAGCATAATTTCTGATTTCCCATACAATTTCCTTTGTATAGATTCCTAAACCCTAACAACCTGTAACAGCTAAACTGCTGACAACTATCGCATCTTTTATTAGTTACAAGGTATACGTCAACTTCTTTTACTGAAAGATTAGATACCTATTTTTTATCCAGTAACTTAGTTTGTATAAAACTTTCGCAAATCTGAGGATCACCATGGATCCTATATCCTTATGGGGAATTGGAGTAGATAAATGTGGTTACCGTTACAGGGAACGGGGATGAGGAGGACCTGCCTTATTGCCTTCCCTGCTTTGCACTCCTGCAAGTTAGTGCCTGCCTTTTCAAGTATCGTCTTACTAGGATTTGGCTGGTTGATATCAATTCTTCTGCATCTCATCTTTGGCATCTTGGTCATAGATTTTTTCTTGATGTTCAGTGATGTTCAATTAAGACATTCAGGGTTCACTTTAATAGGCCACTTTGAACATTTATTGTTAGGGACAAGGCACTTTGAACCTTCCTTATTATCTGCCCAAAGCCTGCGACTTCTTTTTTTGTGTTTATCTAGTTTTAATTCTTTCTAATCTTGAAGTTTTCATAGCCTTCTCAGAATTTATTTCTGATGTTTGCTTGTGAAATAATGGATATCTGTTTCCCAGTTGACACACCTGACCTGACATTATTGTGCTTATCAGACTGAGACAATTGACTTGACTGAACAACGTGGTCGGTCAGGCCAGACCTCAAAAATTTTTAGAAGAAGCAACGTTGATAAAGCAAGTTCACACTTCCTTGATTCAGATGGACTACCATATGTTGGTCAGGTTTGCCTTCAGATCTCTCCCTCCCTACTATGTCGTGTAATTTCCAATTTTGTCTAATCAAAATTTCAATGGCCATCTTGCAGATGATAAAACCAGACGATCCCTACTATAGCGTTTATAATGAGGTTACAAGTTCAACATTCACCTACAAAAGAAAGGGTTCTGAACCTGTTTATGTTGATTATGTTTCTGTTGATGTCAAAAACAAGAAGAATCTTCAGAAGGTGAGTTGATTCCTTTGGATATATTTCAATTTTCACCAGAAATTAGGTTGATATATTTGAGTGTCTCAAAGTTTAGGAAATTAAAATGGAGGAGGATTGTGTGGGTTTGGCGGTGGGATGAGTAGCATGAAGGTTTCTGACCTTCCAAGGTTTGGGTTTGCAAGAAAGAATAATAATATTTTGGTTTTACTTTTTACTGTTTAGTGGTTCTTGTTGGTGAAAGAACTATATTGTTCAAAACCTGCTTAGGAAGTTGTACTAAAAATATTCAATCACTGCTCATAGATGTCTTTCCAGAAAAGTAGATCATTATTTTGTTATGATTTTAATCGAGCATCAGAAAACTGGTTGATGGTTCTTTGGTTGCATCTTACATGTCTAGCAAACCCTTGGATGACTATTATCTTTGAAGTCATTATGTGTAGTTCTTCTGGCTTGCGATCATTATTTTTGAAGTGTACTTTTAGTCTTACATTGCACCAGCAGCAACTACCATTTAGAATAGATTTTTAGGAGATTTTGGTGCAACACAAATTTGTTCTCAGAAATTGACGAGTTTTGTTGAAAAGGTCTCAGTCTATTATTTTTAAAGTGGCGTAATCTTACGAAAGTGTTGTTAGTTTGAACAGAATGCTATTACAAAAAAAACATCCATCTGATGTCCTCCTATTTAAGATAGGATAGAATTGTTTTCACGAACTGTCTTGTTGCTTGGTGATAAGACGTGGCGATGGGAGAAAAGTCTGACATGTTTTGATCTATATGATTATGCCTATTTATATACATTGGGAGCCTTCTAGCAGTAATTACTGAATAATTCTATCATTATGCCTTCTAGTAATAATTGCTGAATGATTCTATCCTAATGACTAATTCCTATAGCCGGGCTAGTACTAATGACAAATTATTTACGTCAAACACATTTTCTGACACAAGCTTGTTGGAGCATAGATGCTAATCATGCTCAACTTGTTAAAAATATAATTAACTTCACGTCCCTGCAATGCTTTAGTTAAAATGTTCCCTAGTTGATCTCCAATCTTGACATATCCCATGGGGTTGGCACTATGAAGAGCTGCTTGGTTAACTCTGGATAGCCTTTTTCTAAGAAGATTTGATTTTATCGACGAATTTTAATTTGTGTAATAATTGTCTGAGCAGGTTAACATACGCTTTCGACATCCTAGGAACCCGATCATTGGTGATAAATTTAGCAGTAGGCACGGGCAGAAGGGTGTCTGCTCCCAGTTGTGGCCAGATATTGATATGCCATTTTCTGGAACTACTGGGATGCGTCCAGATCTGATCATCAATCCTCATGCATTTCCTTCCAGGATGACAATTGCAATGCTTTTGGAATCTGTTGCTGCTAAGGTATTGCAGCTAAATAAAAATATATGGAGAATTTGCTGTTTCGGGGAAGTTGCTGAAGATGAATATATGTTGTTGATTGACACTTCTCTCAATTTTTTTTTTTCCTTTTTTAATAAGGAACAATCTCTCTCATTGGTATTTCTAAATATGACAAACAAATTCTTTTTGTTTGAAATTTTAAACTTTTCATTTTTACTTCCATTAAATATATGCCACTTATTATTTTTCTACATTAAATTTCCACTCAATATCTCTCATGTACTCTTTATAAGTAAAGGTATAATTTGCTACTTTTAACTAAATTTAAATAACATTTTGAATCGGGGTAATTCTTGTAGTTGTTTCTTATAAAAATGAACAGAGAAAGTAATTTTTTTTTTTGGCCTCCCTTTCAAGGCCCTACCCTTATTTGGGTGTTATCAATGTGAGGGATGAGTAGCTTTTGTCTTGTGTGGTTGTGCACATTAATTGGGATTTAAAGTATAAGAAAACTCCTCTCTAACATCATTTTGGAATAATGATTTAGATTTTGATATTGAATCTGCCTTTTACATTGTATGCAATCTGCATAATATTGTCATTTATATTGTAAAGAGTGTGAAGAGATCTAAAACAATTTCTTCTTACAGGGGGGCAGCTTACATGGAAATTTTGTAGATGCAACCCCATTCCGTAGCTCAACGAAGAAAGATGGTGGGGAGTCATTAAAATCAGACTCACTCGTTGATGAACTTGGTGTCCTGCTAAAAGAAAAGGGATTCAATTATCATGGTGTAGAAGTTCTCTACAGTGGAGTTTATGGAACAGAACTTACGTGTGAGATTTTTATTGGGCCTGTTTATTATCAACGTCTCCGTCATATGGTTTCAGATAAGTATCAGGTCCGCTCTACTGGAACAATTGACCAGGTGACCCGGCAGCCGATTAAAGGACGAAAACGTGGAGGAGGAATCCGATTCGGAGAAATGGAACGTGACTCCCTACTTGCACATGGAGCTGCATATCTACTGCATGATCGACTGCATACATGTTCTGATTATCACATTGCTGATGTATGTTCACTATGTGGAAGCATGCTCACAACGACGTTCCTTCAGCCACAGAAGCGGCCGATCCGGGAGATTGGCGGGCTGCCCCCAGGTAGAGCTCTAAAGAAGGTATACTGTCATGCTTGCCAAACAAGTAAAGGCATGGAGACTGTTGCCATGCCATATGTGTTCAGATATTTAGCAGCAGAGTTGGCAGCTATGAACATCAAAATGACTCTCCAGTTAACTGATAAAGCTGAGGCTGGGGCTTGATATGGTTCAGTCTGACAACTTCTTGACAATTTTTGTTGTTGTATCATATCATATCATTATTTATGAGGTGGCATCTTTTTTATATATAAAGTGGTGAGTTCAAAAATTTTGAAGCCATTGGGGCTACATCACTGCGAACATTTCTTGTATGACTGCTTTAGTGGATACAAGAGTGGGATGAGGTTAGCGAGTAGAGTGATGCTTGATGAATTCTGGAGGCCCTTGAGGTCATTTTGTTATTTTCCTATGATAATCCTTATAATTTTAATTTAATCTATGTTATTTTATCATATGATTATAGTCATGGAAAAATAATGTGTAAATACTTCTTAGTGCTTCTTAGTTCGACGGAAATGTTGACAGAGTGTTTGACCTGATATCTTACATCTCAATGATTTGTTCTTCACCTTCATATTAATTTCTATTCTTATTCGTGTTGGTTAATTTTGTTTGTTAACACTTATAATCGCTTTGGAAAAAAAATATAAAAAAAACTTGAATTTGCATTAACGTTTGAAAGAAATAAATTATTTTGTTTTGATAGTTTAAATCAATTTTTAATTAGTTTTCACAGTCTTGGGGGGAAAATTTATACTCTCCAAGTGGTTTAAGAATGAAGCCTATACACACGTATACACACCATATACACACGCATACACGCCATTTCTGATAATTTGGTACTAAATATAATGTTCTGATTTACTTCTTCGGTCGTTAATATAAAATCTATTTAACTAATTTAATTAGATTAAGAAAATTAGATAAGTTAGTTAATTATTAAAAAAATGAGATTTTTTTAAAAACATCATAATTATCTTTCTTTATATTTTCACTCTCTCTTCTACTTGATTATGGTTGAGGGAGTATCCATAAGGCTAATTTAGAAAAAATTGATAAATATGAAAAATAGGTCTTATATTTAGGATCAAAATGAACTCAAGAATTAAGTCCTATATTAAAAACCGGAAGAGTACTTTGTTTCTCATATATACTCACTTTTTTTCTAACTATTCTCTATATAGATTAAACATGTTAAAAGATTTTTATTTTAATACATATGACTAACAAATATATTTTAGAAAAGATAATACTTAATTACTATAAATAGTTAACTTAACTATTCTTCATACTTATAAATAGTTTTTATATTAAGAATGGGAAGCAGTATATGTTAAGCTATCAGATCCGGTCACGCCGCCTGTTATTAACGCTGTTTAACAAAAGATGACATGTTAAACGAAAAATCATATATTTGGCCCCAAAAAAAAAAACGAAAAGTCATCTTGTTTCGATTTAAATCATACTACCTCCAGTCTTAATTATAAGAGCCGGTTGACTAATTTGAGGAGATTAAGAAAGTAAGTTGAGTTAGTTATTTGTCCTAAATAGGTATTGTCTTTTTTAAAATATCTTTACTAATCAAGTGTATTGATTAGAATTATTATTATTAAAAGGGCTGCTTTGGAAAAAAAAAAGTATAAATATGGAAGACAAAATGGATTGGGGTCTTATATTTAGGACTAAAATAAAAGTCAAACGGGGTCTTTATATTAAGGATCGGAGATAGTATGTCCTTTAGTTTTTTGGGCTAGACTTGGGGCACACGAGGGGTCAGTTTATTTAAATTCTTTTCTTTTTCGGTGAAAAGCTTGTTTAGAATTTTTTTGACGAATGATTTTAGTTAAAACTTCAATGTTGGAAATAAATTAAATGAAATTCTGGATCACCATTACCTTCTTTTATTGTTATTGTTGTTATTATTATTATAAGTTCATTTACTCCTAAAATATAAGAGTTAGCTGGATAGCTAGAGATATAATTTAATTATAAATATTAGACTTCAATTTATTTTGTTTTATTAAGTAAAAATTTTGTTTTACATATTTATCTTTGTTAAATTAAAATAGTATATTTTACATTGTATATGACCAATTTATTATAAATAATTAGTTTGAATGTTTATGTAAAGTGAAAATATTTGGATGGTTAATTATTTTTTTATGTGCAAATTGTCCAAAAAGACATATTTTAATATGATAATTATATAAACAATAGATTTTAATTTATATTTTTGTTTGAAATAATAAATTTGCAAAATAATAAATGGTATATGAAAAATATAATTAATTAGTATTATCTCATATTTTTAATATAAGAGTTAATTAAATATTCAATTTGATTCTCAATATAAGATCTTAATGTATTTTGTCTCACACATTTATTCTTGTTTTCAAAGTAATCCTCATGCTAATTTATACATGTTCAATGTTTTATCAAATAGTACTCTCAATGCACATGATTAACAAGTATTTTAGAAAATATAACATATATTTATTATAAATAATTAATTTAACTAATTTTTTAATATTAAAAAATTAGTTATGTTGCTTTTATATTAAAGATTAGGGTAATAATTGAAAGGTGATTTGAATGAAAACTAAACCATGATTTTAGAGCTAATTTTACAGTACATGAAATAAATATATAGAGAAGTTTATCTCGATTTGTAAAAATAGGATTTTGAAAGGCATTTATAGGGATATTCAAATACCAAACCTTGGTTTTATACCTTCAAAAGCAAATAAATAAATAAATTCAAAACTATGGTTTTATACCTTCAAAAGCAAAACAAATTCACTTGGAGAAAAACCATGATTTCATATGCTTTTCAATTTAAACATGATTTCGCATAAGCATAGTTTATAGGAAAAATAACTACAAAATACCATATGAAAATCAAAAAGACAAAATAGGCATCCGAATAAGCAAAATGCGCACGAGGTATCAATTTGGAATTTTTACTTTTGGCATAAAGACTGAAATGCCCATGGAGCGAGAGAAAAAGAAGTTGAAGGTGAAAAGAAAGTAAACAGAGAAAGAAGAGGAAGACATTGATGAAACATGTAAAGAAGGAAAAAGGAATGTTGGAGCAGCGCGAAGTAACATGTCTTAAGCTGAAAAGAGGTAAGGTTAAGTCAATAGTATTTGGAAATGTTATTATCTTACTCCTCCGCATCACCATTCTATAGACATTGTTGATTTGGTGGGTTTGGGTTGTAGGTAAGAAGGTTTGTAATAAGAGAAGGAGTGAACTTGTGACATTATGTAAGTGAGTAGAAGTTGATGACAGGGTTTGGATTATTCATTTTTGTGGCTGTTTCATGATGAAATGGGGACAGGGTTATTGGGTTTGAAGGTTTATATTCAGTATTTGGTGAATGATACAGCAGAAATTAGAAAATGGTGGCAAGCAATTGCGTAATGTAACTGCTGTCATATGCCCGCTAGTTTTTAGTAAATATTGTTACGTTAATAGTACATTTCATTACATATGTAATTAACTATAAAAGTTAATGGTTCAATGTTTACTGTGATGTACTTCAAGTGCTCGTCCATTAAATGGTTTATTTAAGCTTACAAGTTGCCCATTCCCTGAACACAGGTTACAAAACCTATTGAAAAAGTGGTCACTTTCACTATGAAAGTTGTAAATCTCATTATGTGCTTTGTAAACTTCAGTATGGAATTTTATTGGTAGTCAGAAACAGGTTGCCCATCCCCTAAAAATAGATTGCAAAACTCATTAATAAAGCTGTCACTTTCACTATGTAAGTTGTAAATCGCAGTATGTGTTTTGTAAAATTCAATGTGAAATTTTATTGGTTTTTACAAACAAGTTCCCCACCCCTAAAAATAGGTTGCAAAACCCATTGAAAAAGTGGTTATTTTCACTACAAAAGTTGTAAATCTCACTATGTGTTTTGTAAAATTCAGCATGAAATTTTATTGGTTTTTAAAAACAAGTTGTCCATCTCCTGAAAATATGTTGCAAAACCTATTGAAGAAATAGTTATTTTCACTACAAAAATTGTAAATCCCACTATGTATTTTGTAAAATTCAGTGTGGAATTTTATTAGTTTTTAGAAACAAATTACCTATCCCCTGAAAACATATTGTAAAACCCATTAAAGAAGTAGTTATTTTTACTATGGAAGTTATAAATCCCACTATGTTTTGTAAAATTCAACGTGGAATTTTATTGGTTGTTACAAACAAGTTGCTCATCCCCTAAAAACAGGCTGCAATACCCATTGAATAAGTTATTATTTTCACTACGAAAGTTGTAAATCACACTATGTGTTTTGTAAAATTCAGCATGGAATTTTATTGGTATTTGGAAACAAGTTGCCCATCTTTTGAAAACAGGTTGCAAAACCCATTAATAAAGTGGTCACATTCGCTATAAAAATTGTAAATCTCAATATGTGTTTTGCAAAATTCAGGGCAAATGGTTTAATAATACTAAGAAATCAGGCAGCTTCACATCCCCTGAAAATAATTTTATGCAAAGAATAGAGATGGAACCAGAAAAAAGGAATGTTAGACAATGGCATTTTAAACTTTGGGGACCCATCAAAAATGCTCTATGAAGAACAATATCCAAGCTTCCTATCTATTTATCACAATTGGCGTTACTTCAGTGACCTCCTCGACAGCAGCAATCTTAGGGAGTACGAGTTACTTCAGACAGGGCAATGTACTTCAACGATAGTAACCAACTTCATCGACAACAATCTACTCCTACGACGGTAGTAATGTGATTTCAGAGAACCCTTTTCAGTGACTGGAGGAATTTGGATTTAGTTTCGTCAAGTGGATGAAGCAAATTTCTCCCTTTCTCCATCACACGAATACACTCCTCATTTTTTAGAAACAATCAGGGCATTTTAGTCTTTATACCAAAAGTGTAAATTCCATATTAGTACCTCATGCCCATTTGGTCATTTTGCATATTTAGATGTTTGTTTTGTCTTTGTGATTTTCATATGATATTTTATAGTCATTTTTCCTATTTTATATTATTTTCTATTCTTAATATAAGATTTCGTTTGACTTTTATTTTAATCCTAAATATAAGACACCAATTCATTTTATCTATCATGTTTATTTATTTTTTTCAAGATAATATTTATAATAATAATAGTTTTAATGAATATATCTGATATAACTAGTAAAAATATGTTTAAAAAAATAATACGTATTTTTTTTTTAGCAAAACAGTCAATTTTATTAATACCAAAACAAAGGATACAAACACCAATGGCCACTTAAGGCCCAATAAAAAGAAAAAAAACACTCACAAAGACCTAAACATACAACCTAACACACCAAAAGAAAACAAAAAAACGAAAAGGAACTAACAGCACACCTAAACTGAAACAGCAAAACTAGTTAACCGATGCCTTCCCTGATCATACCATCAACAAACGAATTAGCAAGGTCCAATTG